TCAAAATCTGGAGCGCATTATTTTCTTACTACTGTTGATGATTGCTATTTGATGAGATTCAAGTCCGAAACATACAAATTTTTAGCTCATTTCCTTAACATTGTTAAAACTCAGTTCCAATATCATGTTTGCCAAATCTGAACATATAACGAATATGAATTATTGTCCAATGCCATGTAAAGCCTATTCAATGAACTTGGCATTAGGCATCAATAAACCTATGTTCATACCCCACAACAAAATGACATTGTTGAATACAAACATCGGCATCTCTTAGAGGTTGCCCAAGCATTGCGATTTCAAGCAAACTTACGCATAAAATTTAGGGGTGAATGTGTTTTAACGGCACGTTACCTTATTAATCGAATGCCCACACTGATTCTCTATGGAAAAACTCCTCATGAGATTCTCTTAAAAAAACAACCTGCTTATGATCATCTCCGTGTGTTTGGGTGGTGCATAACATTGATACTCAACGGCATAAGTTTGATCAACGTTCTAAACAGTTCATCTTTGTAGGATACCCCCTGGGTCAACGAGGGTATATAGTGTTTGACCTTGACACCAAACCATATACACTAGTAGGGATGTCATTTTTAGAGAAGATGAATTCCCATTCAAACATTTACAACCTGTAGGAACTCATACCTATGTTGTTATCCCAAAACCAGTTCATGACACCACCCATGACTTATCTCCACCTATCGTTGAAACAAGTCATCAAGAGACTCCCCATGTTCCTACCTCACCTCAAGTCTCTCATATAGATTTGCCATCACCTCAAGTGCTTCCTCACGACCCGTCATCACAACCTATTCTTCGGTGTTCCACTCGCACTCATGTTAAGCCACATAAACTTCAGAACTACATAAGCTTTCTTGTCTATTACAATCCATAACGTCAATGACTCTCCTCCATCATGCCATCCTTAGGTAAAGCTTACCCTATACAACATTTTCTTACTCCAAACAATTTTTTAACAACTCATAAAGCATTTTTCTCCACTATATGTTCCCATGAAGAATCGAATAATTTCTCTCAAGCTGTTAAAAACTTCTTTGGTGCGAAGTAATGGCCGTAGACATAAATGCTCTTGAGTTAAACAAGACCTAGACCATACAAGTTCTACCCCCTGGAAAATAGCTCATTGGATGCAAATGGGTATTCAAGATAAAGAATGAAGCAAATGGGACCATCAAAAGGTATAAGGTACGATTGGTTGCGAAAGGGTACACCCAAAAGAATGTTTAGATTATCATAAAACCTTCGCACCGGTCGCCAAGCTAGTTACAGTCAGGGGACTGCTTGCTGTTGCAGTATCTAAAAATTGAAATCTCCACCAGTTTGATGTCAACAATGCTTTCTTACATGATGATTTAAATGCATAAGTTTATATATCAATACCACCAGGTTTGCTTGAGAGGAGGAGAGCAAAGTATGTCGACTTCAAAAATCTCTCTATGGGCTGAAACATGCATCAAGGTGTTGGTTTAAAAAATTCTCAAATGCACTCATTTATGCTGGTTTCAAACAATCATATGCAAATTACTCCTTATTCATTTTCAAATCTAGCATGTTTATCACCATTGTTCTAATGTACGTTAATGATATCATCATCACAGGAAATAATGAGGCTCACATTCAAAAACTTAAAGATTTTCTCAAACAAAGGTTCCACATCAAAGACCTTGGCGAATTCAAGTATTTTCTTGGGATCGAAGTAAGGTCACCTCAAGGAATTCTACTTAACAAAAATACACCCTTGATATCTTAAAAGAAACGGGTTTGTTAGGTTCTAAACCTGTATTCTTTCCTAAGGAGCAGAATTTGAAACTCTCATATGAGAACGGCAAGTTACTTTCTTTCCTATCACTCGTCTCGACATTAATTTTGTGGTTCACACTCTTAGCTAATATATGCACAAACCATGAGAGCTTCACCTTGCCGTTGCACAAAGAATTCTACGTTACCTTAAGGGGACACCTAGCCAATGACTCATTTTGTCCTCGAACAACTCATTACAAATATCAACCTATTGTGATTTTGATAGGGCTAGCTGCCCAACTACGCAACGTTCCACGACGGGTAACATTACTTATCTTGGGACTAACCCAGTGCCGTGGCAAACGAAGAAACAATCTACTGTTTTGTGTTCATTAGCAGGGGCTGAATACCTCTCCCTGGCAACCATTGCTGTGAGTTAACATGGATGAAAACATTATTTTCAGATTTGGGCATCTATCATTCTCAGCCAATGCATCTCCATTGTGACAATTAGGCAGCTCTTCACATCACTGCGAATTCAGTTTTTCATGAGAGGATGAAACACATTGAGATCGATTGCCAACTCATCAAAAGAAAAGATTCAAAATGAGCTAATACATACTTCTCATATCTCCACCAAAATTCAACTTGCAGATATTTTGATTAAAGCACTCGGCAATGCTCAATTTCTTTTTCTATTAAGCAAGCTGGGTGTTCTTCACACTCATACTTCAACTTGAGGGGGAGTATTACGATATGGCCTGCCACATCAGCCAATAAAGATGTGGCCGATGCAGACTCAACCTCTTAACCATGAATATCTACAGCTACCGTAAACCATGTAGATAATCGCCTGTGTATTGTTAGGAAAATCCCTTAATCAAGGGATTAGTCGTTCACCCATATTGTTACAATTTGTATTTAAACACCACTCTCTCTCAATGGAAAGTATCAAAGCTTTCCAATATCATCTATCTTAATAGAATATATATATAAACATGTTACAAATAGATTCCTAATGTTTTCTGAAATTTTTATTATCTTTTCTAAGTTCTATTTGGGGCAACTGGAGCTCAGCCACTCACCGACTCAGCCAATTTTTCAAACATTGATTTCGACCATAACTTTCAAATGATACATCACATTGACATGAAATTTGGACAAATGAAAAGATCTTTTGGTGCCTCAGGGCTCACACCTATTATGCTGCAGTCCCTAAGATCTCTACCATCCATATAAATGGATGGTATGGATGGTGTTCGAATTTCGAGATGGGTAACCGGGGAACTGGAAGGCCGTGATTGTGCAAAGAGCTGTCCTCGAAGATGGCTGAAGAAAAAAAAGAAAGAAAAAGAAATTCCACACTGAAACGAAAAAAGAAATTCCACAATGAAACGAAACCACCATGGTGGGTGGTGTCCTCGACAGAGAGAGAAAGGAACAATCACCATTCTCATAAACCTCTCTCTCTAAAGTAACATCTATAAAAAAAATCTCATCAAAAGAGGAATACTAGAAAAAAGTCTTAAACTACAAATTCACATTTAATCCTCATACAACGATGTCAAGCCAAGAATTTCCATGATAATCCCTCGTACAAACTAAAACCCCAATTCTCATACAACGATCTTTAGTATTTTTTTAGAGAGGTTAACTTTAAAAAAGGAGTGTACAAATACCAAATTGTGCTCCCACTAGAGAGAGCAATATACAATAAGAAAAGTATACAATAAAACTATTTATCTTTTGTATTAGATGGTCGTGAAGTTGGATGGCTGTATTTATTCCATTTATCAATCTCAAATTTCAAAAAAAAAAAAATTTTCAAACTTAATGACACACCCAAACTGTCAAATTTATCAAGTGGGTCCACCAACATTAGGACTCGATACATCTTCCTTAGCGACCGCATCAGCTAGGGAGAGGACTCGTGCCAGACGATTAAAGATGTCTATTTTCAAAGAGCAAAACTTTCCATTAAAATTTTACATAACCCATGATAAAAGCATAAAAAATACAAAAGAAAGAATAAAAAATTATACAAAGAGAATCGTAACCCCTATCTAGTATCGAAAGGCTTCTTCATCAAGGACCACATGCTACGTATTGGCTCTGAGGCCCTGCCTCTCTTCCAAAGTACTGGATCTTTTATGTCCAATCTCTCCGAGTTCAGGGTATTCATGCTCGGGTTCAAAAAGCTGAGAACAAAGCAACCATGGTAGGATCAATCTCTGTTCCTTGCAAGTGTATTTGAAGTGACTTTAAAGGTGGAGGAGGCTCTCTTGTGTCTTCGTTCACAAGAGAGTTCCATGGGCTCAAGCAAGCAACCACCAAAATCAACTCAGGCAAATGGGTCATCTTTGGAAGACGCAGGATCACGAGGTTTATCAACCGAAGGAGCCAAGGACATGGTAAAGCTCAAGTTTACAGACTAGATGGGTCTTAAGGAGCCCACTTTAGTGCTGGAACAGGAAGCAACAAGGGTGATACAGACAATGGCACCACCTCATCCTATGGTTGTTTCAGACAAAATAGGAGGTCAGGTGGTTTTCGTAGTAGCTTAAGGAAGGTTGACATGCATTTGGGAAAAAACCATCTTCCAGTGGTGGCCATGGGAGAGTTGGCAGGAGAGTTATAGGGGAAGAGACTCGTACGAGAATGGTGCTCTGGATGGCCATAACCTCGACAAAAAGAGAGAAACAGGAGAGGAGTTCCAATTTCCAACCCAAGAGAAGATAGAGAGACTGGCTTATGACTTGCCCCTTATGATTGGGGCCATTTAGACAGAAAAAATACAGGAAAATGAAATAGAGAGAGACACCATTATTGAGCATCTACAAATTATCCATTCTCATTCTTTCTAGATAACTAGGAACACTGAAATGGGTTAAAATCGAGATATTTTGCAATATAAATTCTCTGAATTAGACCAAAATTTTGTAATACAAATTATTCTGCAATCAATCAGATGGAAACTAAGCAGACGTGGCCAAACGAAATGGTATGCTGACCTCAAAGGCCATCTAAAGTTGTACCCAGTAGATGAGACTTGATATGTGCATTATGGGGAAAGAAAACAAAAAACAGTATGGATTCTAGCTTCTTCTTCTTTTTTTCCCCTACAGATCCCAGCAAGTCTATCTTAAGATAGAACCCCTCTAATATCAGGATCACATGTTTCGCCGCTCTGAATTGCATATTCAATGAAATAAAACACCACATATTGGACATCAATGGTTCAGCTCGCCAGCTATAAAAACTAATTTGAATATATGAAGTAGAAGAAGTGGAAAACAGCAATTTGAAAGCATCCTACTTGGAATCATGCATGTGGAATTATGATTGAGAGATGGGTGATTCCAGTTTGAGAAACACCGGAATCGATGATTGGATTCGGGTTTCTAGGGAATGTGTCAGACCATGTTACTGTTTTTAAGTCACTGGGGGAAACACATGCTCTTGAAAACCAAAAAGATTACCCTGAAACCAATCAGCTTATTTGCCAGCAATCTCCCTGCATGTCCCAAAAATGGAGCTCTCACCCCCAGATAGATCTTAAAATAGCCATCATGAAATTTGTCTTCTTACGAACTAAGTATCGAGCTCCAAGATTACCTATCATTTCCCACTCCATCCTACCAAACCAGATCATCATCCGAACCTTATCCCAACTATTTGGGATAAATAAGTAAAAAAAATAAAGACCAGAGAAAACCAGGAAATATCTCCTCATTTGACAGTATCTTTCATGAATCAAATGCCATGCGATGGAGCTCGAATACACCACAGCTCTTAGATTTCACCTGAAAAAGGAATTCTTCTCACTCTATCCAATCTCAGAGACAAATCAAGAGCCAATTCCTTTTTACCATCATCAAGCAAACACTGTTTCAACCTCCCAAACATTTGACCTGGAGGCCTAATCCCCATATCCAACATCTCCAAAAAGTATTTGCAGGCCTCATCTAACCTATTCTCATCACAAAGCCCACAAATCAAAGCTGAGTATAGATGCATACAGGGCAAAACCCCCCTTGAGTTCATGCCTCTCCAAACCCTCAAAGCCATTTCCACCTTCCCCTCTAAACAAAACATCCTAACCATCATAGTGTAAGTGTTTAAATCAGGCTCGCAACCAGGAACGGACACATCCATCCTCTCAAACAGATTATATGCATCGTTATTCATGCCTAACCTGATCAAATGGTGGAGAATTATGTTAAAAGTACGAGTGTTTGGATTCACATTGCAACTCCTCATCTCATCCAAAACTTGATCGGCATCTTTGAATTTAGCAGACCAGCAATAAGAACCAATAAGAGCATTATAAGTGGGTAGCTCTGGTATGAAACCATCAGACATGGATTCTTTGAAGAACTCTATAGCTTCATTTAATCTCTTCTCAGGCCCCAACCCATTAATCAAACTACAGTAAATATGCGGACTTGGCCCGCAATTCTTCTCCTTCATTTCATAAAACTTCTCAATGGCATCGCCCAATTTTCTTGATTTTATCAAAGAATTTATGAGAATCCCATAAGTCACAACATCTGGTTCAAGCCCAACATCCAGCATTTCTCTGTAGACTTCCATTAATTTGTTCAGGTCCTTCTCCTCTCCCCACCCTTCTAACAGAATACTGTAAGTTTTGAGATCAAATTCGAAACGGTTTCTCCTCTTCATTTCATCAAACAGTTCCTGCGCTTTATTTACATTTCTTGATTTGCTGATGGTATCAAGAAGCCGATTAAAATCTGATAAATCCGGTTTCATCCCAAAGTTAACCAAACCTTCGAAGGAATTAATGGCTTCCTTAACCTTTCGAGCTCGGGCATAACGCCTCCAAATAAGTGCAAAAGTCGATTTTGTAAGCAACCCATTTTTGTGCATGCCATGAACCAGATCATGTATCAACCTGAATTGCTTGATCTTACCTAGAGATTCTATGAGAGCATGGTAAGTTTCAGTGGTGTGTTTGAAGTTGGGTTGTTTTTCACACCACCTAAAAAACAAGAGAGCCAATTTTCCAGCATTGCTGAACTTTTTCAAGATATGCTCTGCAAGAGCAGGAGAGACCTTGTGGCCTGAGCTCTGAAGGGTGGGTCCAATATTTGAAGGAGGTTGGTTGTATAGGAGCTTGCAAAGCCTGTCTGCTTCTTCTGAGACTGCTGAGATTGGTTCTTTAATGGAGTTTTCAGAGGGAGTAGAGGAAGAGGTGAAATCTCGTAATGGTGATGACTGAGTGTGGGTGAAGTAGGTGAGGAACAGTATAGGAGGAGGTTGCAGTGTGAGAAAGGAGTTGAAATTGAATGAGGGTTTTATGGATCTGTGGAGACTGACGAGAAACTGAAGCTTTCTCATCATTAGGAGAAAGGTTTATCAGAAGGGGTTTTAGATAGAGAGTCATCGAGAAAACTTTGTTTTGAACTTTGGATTTTCACTTCATGTAATGGAGTCCATCAGTGCTTATTTTAGGTTTCCGATTCAAAAGATTAAGAAAATTTTCGGTTCTCAAGAAAAATAGCGGTAATGCATTGTGAATTTTCCATTATGGTGTAAATATAAGTCAATATTGGGATGTCGTTTTTTCTTTTATTTCTTATTATTATTGAAAATTTTAGGGTTTTTAATTTTTATTTTATTTCGGATGATTATTGAAAATTTTATGGTTTTTAAACTTTAAAATTTATAGGGAAAATTGCAAAAAAAAAAAAAAAAAAAATACAAAGACCACAATTTCTATGCAACTTACTCCCAACCTAACTTTTTCTCTCATTTTTTTTCTCCAAAATATACTTTCTATCCTCCCAACCAAATAAAAAATAAAAAAATTCTTAAACTACTCTACCTTATTTTTACCTTATCCACGCTTCTCTCTCATCTATCCCACCAAAATAGGGCCTATGGTACTGTGTAAGTGTAGTTCAGCAATAGCGTTCCGGCACTGTTGTCTTCGGGCGATCTGGCACTTGTACGCTCTGGCAACGTGATGGTGCCCTCCGGCAATGTGTTTATGGATCCAAAAGTCAACGTGAAACCTCACCAAAATCATTTTTGTGTATAGGAAGGGCATTTCAATCTAACTTTTTCCTTAATGGCCTATTTGCATAAAATGTTTGCTTTGGGAGAAAATGTGGGAGAAAAAGTTAGGTTGGGATAAGTTACAGAGCAAGTGTGGTCTTGGGGTTTTTTTGTAATTTACTTCTCCATAAGAACGCCATTGCCCACTCAAGAAATAAGATACTTTCTTAATATTATCAGGAAGAACACAACTAGCCCATTCAAGAAATAAGACAATTGCTTAATATTTAAAATTTTTAGTTATGAATTTTTATAATTAAAATATTTAGGCGATTGTAAAATAAGGTGTTTGATATTTTTCGAGAAATGATCATATAGGACCCTCTCCCGCCCATGTGTGTAGGACCTCAAAAGATCATCATTAAATTTGATACTGATCTATAGAAAAGTCAAGTCCCATACCCATGTGATAACTTTTCTAGAGATCCTTACCAATTTTAATGATAATCCTTTGGGGTCCTACACACATGGGTGGGAGAGGATCCTATATGATCATTACTCTTTTTTCAAATATAAAATCTATTTTATTAGATATCCTTAATAGAGGTTTATAAGGTTTCATAGAAGATTTAAAAAAAAAAATTAATATCCATTTTCAAGTAAAGACACCTTCCTCATGCTTTATTTTCCCATTACAAGTTTTTATTATTTAAAAATGATTTATGCCAAGGGAGGGTTTAAAAAAATTATTATTATTTATGTCATATAAAAAAAATGTGTGGTTTGTATAAAGCCAAGGCTCTAAACAATCAAAGTAGAGCACACCTTCAAATAGTATTGAGAAATGTGTTTTCAATACTGAAAATCTTTGTGACAGCCTTCAAATATATTTTTATCTCTAATTATAAAATTTAAAGCTTCAAAAATAGTGTAGATCGAGCAGATCTATGAAAACTTAAAAATCTTGAAAATTGATGGTCCAAAAATGCATTACAAGATGTATTATATCTAAAACTTGAAATCCAATTTTTTTCTCATGTTCATACATCTCGATGATCAATTAGAGGATATTTAGACATCAAAGAATAACTCTTCTAATGAAATTTTTGAGGTGCGCTCTAATTTGACTGTTTAGAGCATCAGCTCTATATGAACTTTTTCCTTTAACAAAACACTTCGGCCAGTTTAGATGTCAAATAAAAATAAAATATTATTCAATAAAAATACAGTTTTTCAAATATCAATTGCAAAAAATACCAAGTCTTTTTTCTTTTCTTATAAAGCCGTTTAGGTGATAAAGTTTATTTTTCTCTCTGTGATTCTCTCCCCCAACAAGAATGGGACAACTACACAATTAACGCTCTTTCTCACCTTGGTGCATGTTTCTCCCTCTAACCTTGATGCAACCACAAATCTACGACTAAAAGAATAGAGCAAACCTTAATGGTAAATTAAAGATCTCATTGCTTTTCTCTTCTCTTCTTTCTTTTAACAAGAGACCCAAGCAAGCAAACCTTAATAGTAAATTAAAGATCTCCTTGCTACCTTTTTCTCTTCTCCCCTTTAACAAGAGACTCAAGCTCTTGTTATTGTTCTTCTTCTTCTCTCATCTTCAGGTTGATGTAGAGATAGTAGATTTGGGGTTTGTGAGGTAGAGAGAGTAGTAGATTTGGGGTTTATGAGGTGGAGAAAGAGTAGATTTGGGGCTTATAACGTATGGGTTGTTGGGTCACAAGGTGGGATTTGCATGGAGGTGAGGTAGAGAGAGTAGTAGATTTGAGTTTTATGAGGTGGAGAGAGAGTAGATTTGGGGTTTATAAGGTTTCACGGTGTGGGTTGTTGGGTTACAAGGTGGGGTTTGCATCGGGGTGAGAGAACCGGACTTTAAAAAAAAAAAATCAAGTCTGATTTGAAATTTTTTTTACGGTAACTTTTACCTTGAGACTGTAGAATTTTTATTACATTCTAAAAATCTAAAAAAATCTGGTGTTGTCTAAACAGTTCAAATCTATTTCACAAAGATTTTTGGATTGTAATCCAAAAATATTGCAATTTTGGTTACATCCAAACTAGCACTTAGTCAGTAGTAAAAACACTAAGGTTTTTATCGTTGAAACATACTTAGTGTACGAGGCATTGCTTCATTGCAAGTGTTAGTCGATATTTTATACTTAAATTTGAAACTTCCTTTATTTTACTTTAAAACTACTTTTATTTCAAAATAAATTGCCTTTGTATTTACTCTAGGCTGTGGTTTGCATAAGGTTGCAACCTTGAACAATCCACTTATTGAGGATTGCCTGAAAAATTATTTCTAATTATAAAATTTTAAACTCCAAAAATAGTTCAAATCAAATAGATCTATAACTTATGAAAATATAAAAAATGGACGGTTTAGATAATGTGTTGCAGGTGCACTATTTATAGGACTTGAAATCTTTTTATTTTTCATATGCATACATCTCGATGTTGAGATGATCAATTAAAAGATTTTTCTACATTAAAACAACATTTGGGACGGATTTTTGAGTTGCAACTTTAATTCTACATTTTGTAAGGGTGATGCAACCTTCTATAAACTTTTTCCTTAACAAAAAGGTTCCGCGACGCCAAGCAGACTTTGAAGCTCAAGTTGGAGGCAAACAATGTCCCACATTGGGGAAAATAGATGGCGAAGTCATCGGCCTCCTCGATGGGATGGGGCGGTGGTGTGATTATTGAAGTATAAAATACGCATGATAAGATTCTCTAAAAAATAGAAATAAAAAAAAATTAAAAGAGGATGGTGGGCCACTCCATTGCTTTTTTTTAAATAAAAAATTTCGACAATTTTTAATGAATAATTTTTTTAAAAAATGGTAGGGTCCCGGTTCACTGTTAGCTCGAGATGTTTACGGGGGATGGCCACCTTGTTTCCCAAAAGGGGTTAGACGATTGCGATTCGGATCGACATTTTTTAACCCTTGGGTAAAATAAATAGGGATGACTAGATAATATATGATTTAAAAAGATGTTTCTATAATGGTTTTTATGTTTATTATGATCATTTGTGAAGCTGTAAATTATAGTTTCCAATTATTACTTTCGATTTGGCACGGTTTGTTGGGATTTTGAGCTCACAACTAAGAATCAAGATCTCTAAACTTAATGTGCTTGAGGGACGTACAAAAATTAAAAAGAAAGCAAAAGATCAGGTCAAATTATGCTAAGAAATGGGAAGAAAATGAATTGCAATAAGGAAACAGACTAGAAAAGTGAGACATGACTCCTACGGGGATTTTTTAGTGAGTGTCAAGGCTTTTTTGGCCAAAATTTAAGAATACTACAAATGTGATTTTTTTGCTAAGAGTCAAGGAATATATTACAAATATGGCAGTTGGGTAATGCGAAAAGTGAAAACAGATCTGAAACAAATTATGGCCCCCGAAATGGCTCATAGAACTAAAAATACAATTTGGTTGGACTGGTCTAATTGGTTTCCGGTCAGTTTTGGTCGATTGTATAACATTTTTTATTTATTTTTTAGTATTAACGAAAATTTCAAGGAAATGAAAGAAGTAGAAGTAATGCTAGCATAATGAAGCAAGGAAAAAGTTTATACACAGGCGAGTGCTTCAGCCTTAGTCCGTGTGGCACGTGTATCTTGGTTCTTGAAGGTCGAGTCAGCCTCCCCACTAGGCACAAACCGTATATCAACAGGTCTAGCACTAGTGTGCACTATCCACACTAGTCTCTTCTTTTTTTTTGACCAGCACACATACTAGTCTTTAGCCACATGCAAGGTAGTCAACCCACAAGTATGCACCACACACACAGAATAAAAATTTAAGGGCGTGAAACGAGGCTCTATACAATCAAATTAGAGCCCACCTCAAAAATTTCACTAGAAAGGGTTGTTTTGTTGCCCAGCTATCCTCCAATTAATCATCTCGACCTTGAGATGCCTGGACATAATAAAAAAATAAATTCCATGTTTTGGAAATAATACATCTTGTAATGCATTTTTGGACCATCAATTTTCAAGATTTCAAATTTTCATAGATCGGCTTGATCTACACTATTTTTTAAGCTTTAAATTTTATAATTAAAGATGAAAATATATTTTTAGGTTACATAGATTTCCAGTATTTAAACCATATTTCTCGACACTATACAAACCTCACCCAATACAACAAGGGAAATGTTTCCATTTGACCCCAACGACACATAAGTTATATGGGATCCCACTTCTCAACCTTTCGATTTAGATTGAACTGCCACGATTGTTTATACCCAAATGTCATGCAAAACACTGTTTTACTTTCTTTTTTTTTTTCTACAAAATATTTCTAGAAGAAATTTTGGACTCCCATCATAAAAATAGGGTGAACTTGGGAAAATTAAAAAATAAGTAATTTTATAAAAATAAATGACCAAAATGCCCTTAAAATTTCAAGGGTATTCTAGTAATTATTCATCACCGACAATATTCTATATTTATTTTTATCA